AGCATTGCCACTTGCCACCCTTTGTGTGCCCTCAGAATTAGAACGGAGGGATGTTAGGCCTATGGTTAGGTTAGGCCTCACAAGAGATGGATAGTGAAGGCTTTTATTGCAATTTTTCTAAACTACAAATTATTCTTTTTAGCGCAGCATGCACGCAATGCGCTACGATTAAATATTACATGTTTTGACATAAATTAGTCAAAGTAAGTGGGTTTGGAATGTCCGCAAGTTAACACACATAAAAGGAAATGGTTTACGATACTCAGATTGGCAAAACGACATCGATACAATCTATGGGTGGTCCGGTCACATTAATACTATATGTATATGTTTGTTGAATAACATTTTCTTATGCTTATGGGCACTGTTCAACCCCTGAGGGTCGTAGCGAGATGTTAAGTAGCCTGTAAGTAACATCAAGACATGAGCTCTCAAATGCAAAAATCCATCTGATATTTGCAGGTTATTGCATTCAACTAAAGTTAGAGTTGTAGTTTTATTGTATACACGACGAACTTTATATTGAACAATCCTTATATTCATTTTATCAATGATTATTAATCCCCGACGCAGGAGCGACGGGGTGTCTGTGTGTGTGTCTGTTTGTGACAGCGTAGCTCCCGAACGGAAAAATTGATTTTGTTTGTGAATTAGTCTGGAGTGTTCTTAATTATGTTTGATGACGATCGGTCCAAGATGGCCGCCGCCACAAAACACGGCGGATTACGTATTTTTTGACAACTTCCTCAATATGGGTATCAAATGAAAGAGCTTGACTAGTAGAATAATATACACTATGACAAATTTCAAATCCAAGATGTGATCCAACAAACGCAGCCATAAGCTATTCCAGACTATAATCTATCACAGGGCCAAATTTCATTGAGATGCGTGCAGCAGTTCTGGCGTACTTGTATAACGAACATTCATACATCCATCCTCACAAACTCGCGTTTTTGAATAATGAAGACTATCTTGGGGTGTTTTAAAGAAAATTTCACGAACGCAGAAGCAATTTGCAATATTTACTTTATATATACATTATTTTATGTTTATATACGTATAGAAAGGTGCAGAAAACTAAACTAAAATTAGAAATGGAGTGAAACGGCTACAAGAAGCCACTGGCGTCCAGTATGTGTTGATCTGTTTTGGTACTGAAAGAACCCACGTCTTGACCTTAACAATCCTGACTCTTCTGCTTGTAATCTACTCATTAATAAAATCCTAACCTATCTTTTAGTTCTTTTTGTCTTTTTTAAAAGACGACTCCCGCCCTAGGAATAACACATTCGGTGTACATAAAAGACGCTTATACACGCCATTCGTGGACTCGTTCAACAATTTTAATCACGTGCTATGTTCTACGTGGTATGTAAGCAGGGAACGCATTGGAAGGTGGTATTGATTTTAGAGACGGATTGGGGAGTGTTAGCATTAGTTCAGGCAGGTCAGGGTCGAGTGCTATAACTCAAAGTGGCAGCTGCCGGAAAAAAACGACATTAAAAAACCGTAAAACGCCAGTTTACAACACATTGAAAACAGGACATTCTAGTTTTGTAATTATCGTCACGTTTCGAAAGAAGACAATTCAAGTTCTTAAATATTTTTTTTATTCGGGCTCTTGAAGTTAAGCTACTCTGTGTTTCTTTTGTAGTTTCGCTTTATTAATTATTCGACACGTATTAAATTGCCAAATTAAAAGTGATTAGGTTAAAATCACTAAAACTTTAGTAAATATTGTCACAGCCGCATTCATTTTCTAGTTACCTGATGGTGGACTACTACTCCCTAGAGACACCTGCAGCTGAAGTGTCGCCAGTGCATTCCAGGCATTTATGGTGTAAGGGCACTCTTTTCTGGATAGTTTGATGGTCGTATCAGTCCGGAAATACCACAGACGACAATTTGTTCCACAGGTTTTTGTTAAACAAATATCTTGGAGTTATTTTTTATTAGATAAACAAATATCGACTGCCACGGTGGTGCTGTGGTAACGTATGTGACTAATGTGCTGAGGTCTCGGGTTCGATTCCCGGTTCGGACCAAATGCTTGTATGATTTTCAAAAATTTGTTTCCGAGTTTGGGTGTTTTCTATGTATGTATAATGCGTATGTATAATATGTTACATACAAAAAAAGTAAGTAAATAAGTATTCTATCAGTCAATCTAGCTTTCATAGTACAATCTCTGCTTAGTTTGAAACTAAATGGCGTTGTGTGTTAAATGTCCGAAAAATAATAATTTAGTTCCGTTTTTCTAACGACATTACTGAACCATAAAACCATTAAAGCCACTTTGAACACAAATAGTATATCCTGTAATACTGTAATAACATGTAGCTATACAGGCCAGGGCGACACAGCCTTGTATTTAATAACATATGCCGTAATTCAAATTCGGAATGGTGTTCCTTTCTAATGGCGGCGGTATATCCTGGCTGTATATTTATGCGCACGAGTGCCCGCGCGAACGACAGCTGGAGATAGAGGCATTCTCTAGTGTTTATGTCCGTTCATTAGAGAATCACAATCCTGACAATACTATGCAGGATCTTAATGGAATAATTGTTTATAGATGGTGATGATATGTTAAAAAGATTGAAATTTAGTTTAGTAATAAACCGAAAATGTAAATTAGAGAGTTCATCCTTCACACTTTACAGTAATAGTCTATTGGTCATCTATTGGTCATGGTACATCTATTGGTTTACAGGTTTGCTTAAATATTTTTTTTATATCCTTTAAAGCAATATCCCTTTGCTACCATTGCATTCCTTTGTGCAAAGTATAGCTTTTAATATACATACTCCTAATTGTTAAATTTAATTTCTTACTGGCTTATTCGTCTAGTGATTAGTGACCTTGACTAATAAGCCAGAGATCGCGGATTCGATTCCCGCCCTAGACAAATAATTATGTGATGAGCACGATTATTTGTTTACATATAATTAAATTTATCAGCAGAGCTTGTTAGAATAGTGCAGGCTCTGCAGTCTGCCTAGTTTGGGATAAGACGGCCGCGTATGAAACGTAGACATTGAAGTCATTACGGTATTTTTTTTCTTCAATCCCTAATTATCCGGTGGCAGCTTAAGCTTGTTCCCTATAACGTAAGAAATATAGTTAAACCTTCAACTCTGCCCACTCCTTTCTTTCTTTTTCTTTCTGTTCATTTTACAAATGCATTGGGTTAGTTAACAACTACAAACTCAAACTATATCTCGTTGCTTATGTTTTATTATTTTAACCTTCCTACTAAATATTTGCATGCTATTTAATGGCAATATGTGTCCTGTTCTTATTATTCAATTTACTTAACATCTTTTGTACCACATTTTATGCAAATAAACTTATTTTTATTATTATTACCTTTCTGGAATAAAACCGTGAGAGTATGTCTGTGTGTACTGAATTAAAAAAAGAATTAGGTTCGACAAGATGTAGATACTTACAGGAATCAATGTACGAGTAGGTAGTAAGTTATATATGAGAGGTATTTTAACAATATTGCCGATTATGAATGAGTCGTGGTTAACGGGTGTAGGTATAAACAATGTGCCTCATCTATTATTCAGCATACTAAATTTAGTATGATCTATTTCTACGTTAGATGCATATACACGCATAAGAAATTTTAATAACCTTTATACTTACTTCATTAATATGATAAAGGCAGAAAGTGTATAGTTGCTAATACTGATGGAAATGATACGCAAAATGTAGCGCGGTTGTGATTTGCAGTACTTTTTTTCACAGGCGCAATAGTTGCAAATCTATTCCATTCGAATACAGGTGTGATTATTTGTAGTCATACCTATTTTGTATTCTAAACAGAAGTCACTTTTGTAAGTATATACAAAATAAGTTTGTAGAAATCGGCTCCAGTCAGTTAAAATGTAATTTGTAGTCGATAGGGCTGTATTTTTACAAAGTTCTAGGTATGACTTCAAATAAACAAGCAGTGAACATGTGTGTAATATATATAAATAAAAAACCAACAAAAATCAATAAGCGATACAGATTTTCGTAGGAAATATTGACTGTGCCTGGCGCTGGTTTTCAACCAGACCTTCTATAAACAACGAATGTTGAACAGTACAAATAAAAGATTTAAACTGTAAAATACGATATTTCTAATTTTTTATACGAAATACTTATTTTATAGTATTAGTATCTATTGTATAAATAATAGTTTGTGTATACTAGTACTTGGTTAGCATTAAAATAATATGGACAGGATCTAAGTCAAAAATAAAATTAGGTAGGTACATTAACTTTTAATGACTATTTTTCTCTCTAGTAGCTCAGAACGGCAGGCCTAAATTATAGTTTTCGTAACATTATTTATTCTCTACATTATCACTCATAAATCAAAGGGTCTTAACCGGTTCGCTGCTAAAACAAAAGAGACATTGTTCTATTGGTGATTTATGACCCGTTATGCAGTGAATAAAAAACCTGACCATAGTGACCATATAAAGCTGTGGTGAGATTATTTATTGTCATAAAATGATGAGATACTGTTGAAAAGGAATAAGTGTTTAGAAGTTTTGCTACTGTTTTTTTTTAGGTTTAATAGGTTTGTTTTAGTTGCAATTTAATGTTTTATAAAAAAAATACAAAGACGTACCTCTAGCATGAATTAATCACCTGAATTGGATGAAATTGCGATAAAAAACTCAATATTAAACCAGAACATTTTTATTTATAAAAAAATAAATAAATAATCTTTTTTATACCTATGTTAGACTTAAATTATTTAACGTTAAAGGCAATACATGACCATACATTTTATCTTACACAGAAACACACGCACAATATATCTATCTTAAAACGTAGACTAGAAACCATTTGAAACAATACACGGATTTCAAGTCAGGTTACTGCGTCCAGGTTAATTTAAGTCATTGTTTTACCTATTTTCGTAATATTTTTCACTGTGACGTCGAGGTAATTACTAAATGCTACAAAACATCTCTGAAAACCAATAGATGAGACTATCTCCTGAAATGTTCGAGCGCTTTTTCAAGCGGTGGCTGTAATTTTAGAGGAATATGATTGTGGAATTCCTCGTCCCCCTCCGAACTCCGCCCCTCAGCACCTTGCGGCACACCGTACTCCGCAGCTGGCTGTTGCTGATTGTAATCCTGGCCCTGATTGAAATCTTGTCCATGCTGGCTAAAATCACCTTGCCCAAAATTTTGGCCATGTTGATTGTAGTCTTGACCCTGCCCAAAATGTTGACCCTGCTGGCTGAAGTCCTGACCTTGTCCAAAGTCTTGACCACTGTGACCAAAGTCCTGGTTAGGTTGTCCGTAGTCCTGGTTTAGAGGCACACCGTACGAATCGTGAGGTACACTGGCTTGCTGGTGTTGTTGATTGTTAAAGTGCTGTTCGAACTGCGCTTGATCCAACTGTTGTTGAATGTGATGCTGTAACTCGTTCTGATAGTTGTACTGCTCATCACCACTATGATGCTCATAGGCCTGCGTGCCATGTTCCTGTGTAAATTGATGATGTCCAGCTTGACCGAAATTTCCGTCTTGACCGAACTGGCCTCCATGTGCAAAGTAATTGCCTTGGTCGTATTGATTACCTTGACCGTCATGTCCAAATTGAGTACCGTGACCAAAGTTGGTATCTTGTCCTACATGAAATCCCGCTTGCGATCCCGAAATGTCGTGAGGCGTCGGCTGTACTGGAGACCAGCCGTTATGTTCAAGGGGAACTTGATGGATCGCTGGTTGAGTTGGCTGTACGTGGACGGTAGGCTGTGTTGGCTGCGGGAAACCAGGCTGAGGAGAGTGGAAGTGAATCTCGGGTTGAGCAGAATGAACATGGACTTCAGGCTGACCTGGCTGTAGAGGGACCTCATGGTGTAGATGCACGTCCTGCTGTAGATGCACAGCCGGTTGTGTCGGTTGTAGGTGTAGGGCCGGCTGCGTTGGTTGCAAGTGAAGATGAGGACCATCAGGTTGCGCATGATGTAGTAACGTTTGTTCATGCGACCCTGGTTGTTCAATTATCACTCCATCTTGATTTCCAGCCTGCGGAACTAAATGTAAGTGCGGATGTAAGTGAGGAGTTTGGGAATGGTCGAGTAATACTTGGTTGATTGGTGGTGAGGCAGCTGCTTGAAGTAATGGGTAGAATGGAGACGGATAGTTTAAGAATGGATATCTAGGATAATTTGCAAAGTAAGATGTTTGTACTGCATTGCCTGGCCGGAGAACATACGGGAATTGTGATTGCACAGGTAATAAAGGAGTAAATGGAGCTGGTGCTGGTGCAGGGGCAGGTACAACTGGTCTTAGGTGAACATGTTCTTGGGGTAGAAGATGAGCGGCAGGAGCTAACGCTGGTGCGGGAAAGACCGGGGCGGGCGCTGGTATTGGTTGCGGTTGTATTAGCACAGGTGGGGAAGGAACTGGTACAGGATGTGCATGGACTGTCGCAGTGGGTTGTGCAATATTCACTACAGGTGCAGGAGGACCGGGAACTGGAACTGGGACGTGTACATGTTCGGGTATCAGTGGCTTAGGTTCGACATGATGATGGTGATGATGAAAATGATTTTCAGGCTTGGGCAATAGTACAGTCTTCGTGTGGTGAGGGAATTTAAGACCATAATGAGGATGTGGCACTGGTACTCTGTGTCCCACCGGTACAGGATAACGGCCAGCTAAAGGATTAGTAAGTGGAACTTTAACTGCGGTAACAGCTGCGGCCGGTGGGTATGACACAACTAAAGGTTTTAACACTGAATGAGTCACTACGGGAATGTCGTATCCAAGTTTGTAGGGTGGTATGGAGGAGAGTACGCCTCTCTTGTGATGCTTTGCGCGCACTATCTTCCCCAGGAACTTGGTCTTCGCCGACTTAAGGTGAGCGACATCTCCCGCTGACAACCACACGCACGCACACAACACCAACGCAATCTGAAACACACCACGCACGTTATATGACTGGTCCTCACTTATCACTACATCACTGTACACTAAATTTCACTCGTTCTCCACAATAAATACTTACTGTGGTAAGTTTCATGTCTATGCGGTCGCCCGATCGGCGCGATCACTATTGAGATACCGATGTGCACCGGGTTCCACCACCTATACTTATAACTTAAAATATATCGAATTAGTATGTAGCCGGCGTTGAGGTTTCACTTGGGGGTAGCCGTACGTGCCAGCCGAGAACTTCATCCATACACGATAATGCTTTCGATCATACCTAAACGAAGGCAGTTTAATTGTTCTTCCGAATCTAAAAATAAACACTTTGCATTCTATGCCGTTTGTTTAAAGTTGACATTTGAACAGTTATTATTTATTTTAGGCAGCACGTAGGTGGCTATCGTCATTCACGTGTAACAAGTGTGTGGATGTGCATACCAATCGATTAGGAAACGTAATCGAGAGAAAACTGTACCGAACTAAACAGGGACGAATTGTAATAAGAAATAGTGTTATGGCAGATATTGCATGTTTTAAACCGAAGACTTAAACTTAAATAGTTTTCTTTTATCCAAATAAGCCTATTCCTTCCACATTCTTATATCGTCACACTCAAAGAGTCAAAAGACATTTTTTTTTAAAGTTATTTACAGGTGTGTCTATGTTCGAAGGTTTATTCTAAGTCCTATCGTCTCTATAGGTGTTCTGTAAAAAACGTGTGACCTTTGATGGGCGCAATAATATTTCAGACATCTAACACAGAACGCCATCTAACTTCAAACTAAGCAGAGCTTATAATATGAAAGCTAGATTGACTGATAGAATAGTTATATACTTTTTTTGTAAATACATGCACATCATACATAGAAGACACCCAAACTCCGAAACAAATATTTGCAAAGCATACAAACCTGAGACCTCAGAACAGAGGCTCGCATACGGACGCCACCGAGGCAGTCCCGCAATTTTTTATTTTTTTTTATCCAATAATGTTGTTGATAATATAAGCTTAAACAATGTCTTTCGGAAAATGCTTTTTGTAGTGTAGATAGTGTACAATAATCATTTATAAACAAAATATAATTCATATTTGAGATCAATATAATGTTTTCGTTTTTTGTACACACACATTTTCAAAAATAATTGGACACTGTTATTTAATATACATTTCATTATAGTCATGTCAGTCCCCTCTTACAGCATATCAACTTTATGAATCAATTTTAAAATCCTATTTGTCACAGTCAAACAGATATCAAATTGTGTTTATCTGTGCAGACAACTTCAGACGAGTGGTTTATCAAAGTATATAAAACATTTCTTTAAAATAGTTTATAGTTAACATAATATTGCTTGTGATATCATTCTCTACGCGCTCCAAGTCCAGCCCCCTGCGACAGGACATCATTATGCGAGCACATGTCCGCCGGTTACCAAATACATCACGATCACTTTCTTTGGCTCTCACTGCTCGTACGCACCTGCCTCCAAACACTACACGCCGACATTAGCCGAACCTTACCGAACACACTCTTGCGTAACTTGGACCCACATTATTGATACCACACAGCAGCCGACTACTACTTCCTTACATATTTTAAACACGTAGCAACTGATTTTACTTACTGACGGCAACAAAATCTTTCCGTAACGTTTTAAATTCATGTTTGGTGTTGATTGTTAGGTAATGCAATGGCTTTTGATTTTGGTTTAGGTTCACGTATTCGATAGGGCCCTGGTATTGCGATTTCTATTGTCTTTTTGAACAATCCTATTGCAGGTAATTTTTTTGATAATTAAATTCCTAAAGAAGAAATTGATACTTTGTAAATCTTAATTATAATACCTACTTATTTTGCTGTAAAGTACAAAAATTTACAGTTATTTAATCTTCTACATTGTATTAATTTCGTGCGTATTTATCTTGGCGATCGTAAATTATAAAATTTTCATATGCGTGAAGTGCAAGCAAAGCCACCCTCTTTTGACGAACCTTTTTGATATAAAAAACAATTTTAATTCTATGATGAGAATCTAAGTTGAAAGCTAAATTCATAATATTCGGTAACCTGAAATGGGAAAGATTAACAAAGAAAGAAAGGCTAGGATTATCTTGGGTTAATTTTCCTAACTTATTAAAAAAATAAGTTCCCGTTCAATTTTTATCGTGTTTTTTTTTGTTTATTGTTTCTGTCTCTTTGTGACCCGGTGACCCTACCACGACCCTACTCTACAGTAACTGGCAGCACTGAAATCTGAATGTCAAAGTTAAAGATGTCAAATGTCATGTCAATTTGTTGTGTCTAGATTATGGGCTTATGCTGTAAATACTGTAAAAAGCCTAATAATTACTTGCTTTCTAATATATAAATACACTTATCCTTTAGTAAAATAAAATTATTAATAAAAATACTCATGGATACATTTGGAGATGCGAATACTTGCAGAATATGCTTGAAACAGAAAACTTCTGTGTACTCCTTATTTCGTAAACAGAATGGTATTTATCTTCATGAGAAACTTAAAAAAGTAGGTCTAAAAGCCGATGTCAACGATATCGGTCCATCAAGTATATGTAGCGACTGCCTAATCGAACTGGACATCACCCTAAACTTCTTGGAAAAATGTAAGAAATCGAAGGAAATCTTCGAATCACAGTTATCGCGCGAATACGAACTGTCTGAACGGAAAGTCGGTTATAAAGGTGAAGTATGTATAAACCGCGAGGATAACGCTTACTGTGAAAGAGTAGAAAATTGTCGGGATATTGACTCGGAGACGAATATCGACAATGTAACGGAAAATGTAGAAAAAAGTTGTGATAATTTATCCTTGAGCCTGGAGGAAGCGAAGTGTAGCGAATGTGGATCTCACCGTCGTTGCCGCCACTGGAGCCCACCCACGACACATACTTGTCCATATTGTCAGAAAGTTTTTGGAAGAAAATTTAATTTTAAATTACATCTGTAAGTTTTATTTTTAAGATTTTATTCGAAAAAATTGGGTTGTCAAGGAGTTTGAATGACAGAATAATTCTCTATTAATTAATTTAAAACTATTTCTTACTGCTGCACCTATTTATTCCTGCCTGTAGCTTCCATTGTGTTAACATAAATTTCTTTCGATTGGATCAGGTGTTCCCTGGGAGCAAACTGCTCCTGCATCTGCATGCAATGAATTCAATGTATTTTTTTCTAACTCTGTGTAAAAGTACATGATACTCAGAATAACAAAAAAAAACTCAATTTTATCTATTAAGGATTAGTTAATTTAATTTCTAGAATGAACACTATCACACATCCTAATCCAATCTTTGGGGTCAAATTGATGTATAAAATACTTAAACTGACTGCACAGATAGTGTAGTGGTTTAAGCGGTCACCATGCCGCTTACTACTATGCTGAGTGTTGTGGGTCCAATCCAAACATGGGATGTCACTTTGTGTGATCCACTAATTATTGTTCTGAGTGTGGGTGTTCTTTGGGTCCGTTTTATGTATTTTTTAAACTTCCCCACGACACAGGATTTATTCCTAGTGCGGGTGATCTTTATAAAAAAAAATCTCACAGCTTCCACATTTGACAGTGATAGTGCTTAATACCATAAATTTTGGGAGACATTTTGCCATTTCAACTGTAACAGACATCTTTGTCATGTAAGTGTAATTAGATACACAGGTAATCTATATTTATATCCTGTTTGTATAGATATTAATTATTTACTGGGGAATTGAAACCCTCACTAGAGGTCTAATAAAAGTGAATTGCCAGGTTTAAAATAAATTATTTTCCTAAAACAATAAATAAATGTATGGATGGCATAGTGGTGTAATGGGTCAACTCACCGCTCCCTACAGTGCTTTGTGTGTTCACAAATTGTTGTTCTTAGTCTGGGTGTTCTTTGTGTCCGTTTCATATATGTTTGTAAAGTCCCCGTGACACAGGAATATATTCCTAAGGCCTTTAATTATATTTTTTTCTCAAAGTACATCCTAAATTGTCCTCAATTTTGTATTAATTTCTTTGATAGTTTCAAATTAACTTAAAATATAAATGATTTGGAAGTAGCAAGGTATGATGTTGCACCATAGTATTTAATACAAAAATATACCACTCTATCATTTTCATGTTCAAGAAAAGAAACTAACTAACTAAAAGTTGAAGTAAAGGCATCAAGTTCATATAACATGTTTAAACAGCTAGTGTGTCCTTCAAAGTGAAAGTAATATCAAGTACATAGTGTGTGTGTGTCATGTAGGAGAACCTGAGTAGCATTAATTATGTTAGGAACGGCTTGGATGAGATCACCTCCAGCTTACTTACTATATAATATGTAAATAAACTATGGATAGGAATTCAAACACTTTCATTTTCCAGGTATCAATAAAAGCTGTCATACACAATTAAACAGTTAAAAACTCCTTTTTTGGACCTTTATTAGTATCTAAGTAGCTAAAAATCTAAATATGAACACAATAAACAAGTCAAAGGTAATGTGTTTAGAACGGTCACCCATCTATAGTTTGACCTGGCTAAGATTGCTTAACTTTGCAACGTGCTAACCTACTCGGTTACCACTTAGCTATGAGCCCCTCATACCGATTATTTTTATACCGATACTCAGGAACGATACACCTCTTTATTAAATGTGGGAATCAATCCCGACTTGACACAGTGTCAGTTAGAGAGGTAACACTGCTGGGCCTCAATTCTGCTATTTAAATATTGTATCAATAGACTTTCGTCGGAATAGTTTTGCACTTTTCCTATTCTACTAACTATGTAAGACCAATGACCTCCCGGTGACTTGTCGCTGATACAAATGTCTTCGATGTCTTTGTAACAGTTTGGTGAACGGAACATTTTAAATTTGTAAGAAAATGAAATATTTAATTTGCTAGGTATGGCAATGTTGATTATATCACCATTGATGACCTATATTACTATATCGCCAGTATTGAAACTGTGAATTTATGTTAGTAAGAGTACTGATATTTTGACCGATGTCAATGCCGTCTCAATAGCGTGTCAATGGAAAGACCGTGGCTTGGCGTTAACATAAAATAGCAGAATTGAGGCCCTGATGGTCTTAAATGTAGTGCAGAGCTCGTGGTGTGTGTTCCAGGGCGCGTCACAGCGGGTCGCGCGAGTGGTGGTGCCGCTCGTGCGGGGCGCGCACGCTGTCGCGCTGGCTGGCCGCCTCGCACTGCGCCCCGCGGCCGCGCCGCGCCTGCCCCGTGCCGGGCTGTGGCAAGACCTACACCACCAACACTAACCTCAACACGCACCTGAGAGTACACAGTGGTCAGTCATCTACTTTGTAAAGGTTTGTTGCTGCGCCAGTGCAATAGTTTAGAAGTTTTAAATTGTTTATGCTGCTGTTGGACCCCATAGCATTAAAGGAACATACCCATACTACGTGACCGTTCAGGGGAATGGGAGGGTGGGCCTTTAAATACTACGCTTGGTCACAAGGGTGGGGGCTTATGTTTTCGTCACGTAGTCAATATCGTTCCGAAATTTCGCGCTTTTAAGCAACTTTTTTTACTTACATAACTTTTTCTTTTTACTGTTAGTTTGCAAGAAATGATTTTTTTTTTTTTTTTTTTTTTTTATTTCCTCTTGTATTTACTACAATCTGTCTCCTTCATGGGACATTCAGCAGTATGTTGGTCGATGCTATACGCTGGCGCGCTCGGTATGTGACCTTTGTCACATCCTCGTTGTTAGACAGTAGTTATATTTACTGTGATTGTAATAAGTCTTGAGGTATTTTACGCTTCAATCGTCGCGCTTTGTTGTGGTTTTCCATTAATGGCCGAGCCAGAGTGTTTGGATGTTGTTCGATGCGTTCTTTATAGGACTTAGTATGGCGTACAATCTCCTGTTTCACGGTAGGCATTCGTAGGTCACGGTGTAATAGTTCGTTGGGTACGAACCAGGGAGCGTTTGTTATCATGCGCAGTGCTTTATTTTGAAACCTTTGCATGATTTCTATGTTTGAGTGGGATGCGGTGCCCCACAATTGGATCCCATACGTCCAGATTGGCTTTAGTATTGCCTTGTACAAAAGTATTTTGTTCTCAAGGGATAGTTGAGACGTCCGTCCAATGAGCCAGTAAAGTTTTCGTGTTTGAATCCCAAGTTGCTTTCTCTTTGCGAAAATATGCTTTTGCCAGGTAAGTCTTTTGTCCAAATGCAATCCAAGATATCTCACATGATCTGTCTGTGGAACTTCAATGTTGTTTAATGTGACTGGAGGACAAGATCCTCTTCTTAAAGTAAACGTTACATTGACTGATTTTGTTTCGTTTGCTTTTATCCGCCACTTTTTGAGCCAGTCAGCTATGTCGTTTAGTCCTTTTTGGAGTATTTGTGAGGCTATTTTTGGGTCACTATGTGCAGCTAGTATGGCGGTATCGTCAGCAAAGGTTCCAGAGGTTAAGGATTCAGATGTGGGCAAATCTGCAGTGAACAGTAAGTAGAGTATGGGTCCCAGTACGCTACCCTGTGGAACTCCCGCTTTTATGGGATAATGGTCAGACACCGCTTCCCCATTCTGCACTATGAAGTGACGCTGCTGTAGAAATGATTTTAGTATTCCATACATGTGATCTGGTAGAGCGTTTTTTAATTTAAAAAGCAATCCCTCGTGCCTGACACGGTCAAATGCTTGAGATATGTCCAGGAATGCAGTTGCACAGTAAGATTTTTCCTCCAGTGATTCCATTATCTTTTTGGTTAGTCTGTGCACTTGGTCGACAGTGGCATGTTTACTGCGAAACCCAAACTGATGGTCGGGAATTAGTTCTTTATCCTTGATTATAGGTAGGATTCGTTGAAGCAGTAAAGACTCGTATATCTTGGATGGAATAGGTAGCAGGCTTATGGGTCTATATGATTTTGCTTCTTCAGGTTTTTTATCTGGTTTCAGTAGCATCACAATCTGTGCGACCTTCCACTCCAGAGGAAAGAACTGCAGTCTATTCATGGCGTTAAACAGTGACGTAAGAAAAGTTATTCCGGATTCGGGCAGTTCTTGCAATAGACGATTTGTTATAAGGTCGTATCCTGGTGACTTTTTTGGGTCCGATTTTTTTATGATTCGGGCAACTTCTGTCTTTGTAAATTTAAAAGGCATGTCCTCTGTATTTTTGGGAGTATTTAGATGGTGAATAATTTCTGCTGCATCTTCGGCAGAGCCTTCATATGGATGGGGAATAAAGACGTTTGAGAGATATTCCGCGAAAGTGCCGGCTTTTTCTTGGTCTGTCCGTGCCCAGGTACCATCGAATTTTCTTACAGGAGGAGAAACTCTAACGGGCCGTTTTAGTCGTCTAGTGGCTTTCCATAAAGAATAATCTGAGGAAGCACTAGCATCCAGGCCAGTGACATAATTTTGAAATCCTTCATTACGATCTTTGTCTAGAATGTGCTTCAGCTGTCTGCTGACGTGATTGAGTTGTTTTTTCGCAGCCGGGTCTCTAGTTTGTTGCCAGTGTTTCCGTATTTTCCTTTTTTGGGTTACTTTATCTAATATATACTTCGCTACATAGTTGTCCATGCTTCTATGTAATGGTGGTGGGGTTGAAGACCAAGCTGCATCCTGCACACTGTTAGTAAAGTATATAACCGCTTCTGTTATTTCGTTATTTGATTTTAGACTAACTGGTTCCTGGAACGCTTCATCTGTGAGCTCTCGAAACAGGGACCAATTAGTTCTTTTGTTGTGCAGAACACATTTTTTGACGCATTCTTGGGTGGTAGTGTGTAGATCTACTATGATTGGAGAGTGATCTGAGGATAAATCCCAGCAACTCCGACATGTAATATTGTTTTTTGCTATTCCTCTGCCGACACAGAAGTCAATAACATCCGGCATTTTTCTTTGGTCTGTTGGCCAATACGTTGGTTGACCAGACGATATCACGTTCATATTTTTTGCTTGGATGCATTTGAGGAGTTCTCGCCCTCTGGGTAGGACAAGCCTAGAACCCCAAAACGTATGCTTGGCATTATAGTCGCCTCCTGCAATAAATCTATTTCCAAGCGATTGAAAATAGTCATTGAACTCCTTTTCCTTGATAGCAAATCTCGGCGGACAGTAAAGAGCTGAAATTGTGATGTCACTCATCCAGTCTGTTATTACGACGTTTGTTGCTTGGATGTAGTTTTTACAGTAGCCTTGTAGTACATGGTGCTTGATGTTTGACCTGATGAGCACGGCCGATCCTCCATGTGCTTTGTTATCTGGGTGATTAGTGTGGTACATATTGTAGCCCGGTATCCTGAAATAGCTTTTGGATGTGAATGGGTTTCTGAGATTAGTAAAACATCTATGTGGTGGATTTTAACAAATATTTTTAACTCTTCCGAGTGTTTTGACAAGCCATTAGCATTCCATACAACCAATTTTAGCACTGTGAATGTGATGACATTTTTGAAATCAATACGGTCAACGTTTGGGTCATATTTAACATTTGGTTCATCAAGGCAACAAGTGTTTCCCTAATTGCTTTGAGTTCGTTGGTTTTTTGGTTTTCGTCCTCCGCGTTAATTGTTTGCGTCATAGGTTGTTCGGTGGGTTCTTTTGTAGCTAAAGCATAGGATTTTCCGCTATTTATTGTTTTATTCGTAGGTACTTGTTCATTTCTCGTGTATTCAGGTTTTCGTCTGTGTTTAGTGATTTGTGGAGGGTATCGGACTTTCAGCAATTCTTTGTAGACTGTACAGCCTTTGTAGTTAGCTGGGTGGTTTCCCTCGCATAGGACACATTTAACCTGGTTTGATCTTTCTTTCCGTGGGCAAGCTGAAGTGTGATGCGGACCTGCACATTTGACGCATCTGGGTTTTCTATTGCAGAACTTTTGTGTGTGATTATAATCTTGGCAGTTTGTGCATTGGGGGATTGCTCGCTTTGGTCTGGGTGCTTCAAACGATATGCGACAGTGCAGCAGAGATTTCACGCTATATATGTCTTTATTATTTTCACGAGGTTCGAGTTCAATGTTCCACATTGGTAATGCCTGTTTTGTTCTTGAATTTTGAATGTTCCAGACATTTATTACTTTGTGGTCAAGCTCTTCGATAGCTATCCTTATATCCTCTTTATCTGTGGATGGATGTAGATTTTTAAGCACTACTCTAAAGCTGCGGTCTTGTTTAGGCTGGTAACTGAAAAATTCTGTGTTGCTCTATACTGTCGAGCACTGTAAAGCTATTGGATGTTTGTACTGCTGGTGTCGCGAGCCAGTAATTCAATTTTGTTTGTTTTTGTCTGCGCATTACTGCGTCTGGACTGGATCTTTGCCTTTTTCCATAGTTCACTTCTGTAAACTGCTGTTCTTCGGATTCTCTATCTGTTTCTGTTTTATCTGCTTTATCTGCCAGCTCAACGTTCGCTTTGTCTCTATTAATTGTTCCGCTAATGGAACTTGAGCTTGGCCGATTTATAAACATTCCTTTGTGTAAAAGCTGTTGGGTCAAAGTTTTTGGGTTACTCTTATCTAATTTTATTACATTTTCAGAGGGGTTAGACTTATTCATTTTGTTCCCACGAGTAGGGACGATTTAATACGTCACAAGAGGGGTGACGCCCATTCCCTCAAGAAGGCAGTATACAACGACGTTTGCCGGGTCCGTCGAGGTTGGCGCTTAGAACTTGTCTCCTACAAGCCATGCATCCTATCGGCACGTAGTCCCACCTTAGGATTAGGGTGATTTTTTAAAGAGGTATTCTACCTCTTGGTCCGGGCGGTTAAGCCAAGGCCCTCGATTCTGTGAGTAGGTATGTGCACAGAGTTGCGAGTTGTGGAGGTCATTTCCTACCTCCAGCGGGTTCCGGCTTGTTAGGCCTGGTTTTTTCGGGATAATTGCCGTCGCCCGATGCTCGACGTTGATCTTTTACGACTAGTTAGATCTTCACTCAGTCAACCCTCCTCTTTTTTCATACGGGCTTGGGACCGTCAATGGCAGAGTTAGAAATGATTTGAAACTATTTTTATTAATTACTACGTGAAAACTAGAGGTAGAGGGGGTCATGGCGTATACTACGGGTGACCACCCAGGGGAGGGAAAGTAAAAAATGTTGCAAAATGGATTTTGTAGTATGGGTATGTTCCCTAAGTCTTTAGTACAAAAATTTGTTTGCTCTGTTTCCTCTGGTTCTATTTTGTTTCTTAGACTTGTTTCTATTTTCGATACCAACCTGCTTTTGTCTATAGTTAGAAACTATTATTTTATTCATACAAACTGGTTATCGTAAAATAAAAAAAAATGTTATTTCAGGTGAGAGACCTTTCGAGTGCAACGAATGTGGGAAGAAATTCACCAGTAAAAATACATTAAGTGATCACCTCAGGATACATACGGGTAATCATGTTTTAATATATTTTATTATTAATTATTTCTCCCTCGTTTGGAAATCTTACCTATTAAGTGTACAGCGGCAATGTCTGAGCCAAATACAATGCTCTTGAATGGACCCTTTTTTTACGTCTGTGTTCCCTCGGGATGTTAGCACACCGGGGTTTTGCGGCGGGTTGATATGTCGAAATCTGACCTACTAAAACCACACGGTGTGCCACTCTGTGCTTGTAATAGAAGGGATCCGGGAACTGCTGTTATTAAGACATCCGGACCCCTCTTAGCGCCTGCCCGCAACGGCGCGGGCACCACCTTCAGGTAGGCCCGGTACATTATTTTTTTCTCCTCGAGGCTAGCCGTTATGGCTGGTGGATGGGAAAACCCGTCCGGTCCACCTGCGCCCACACTCAAAGCGGCACGATGCGACCGCGCCTCCTAAGTATGTGCTGAGAACAACCATTTGTTCACAGAACAAATGATCGTTCTCAGCATACTTAGGAAGCGCGCTTCCCAAACTGTGCAAATTACACATAATTTGCACAGTTTGGGATTAGACGACCACGCATAGGATGCCTTCAGTAAAAAATATCTGATGTTGCACAGGCGCGTTGCCCTACATCTGCCCAGTGTGCGGGAAGCGTTTCCGCACTAACAAACTATCAGCGCACATGGCCACACACTCGCAGACGCGCCTGTCGTGCGCACGCGCCGGTTGCTCGCTGCGCTTCACGTCCCGCCGCGCGCTCGCCCGCCACCGCGCCGCGCACCACTCCGCCCCCACCCCCGCCTCCGCGCCCGCTCCCGCCTCCGCGCCCGCCCACGCCTGCGCCCTATGCCCCGCCAAGTACCACCACCGACAGTCGCTCAATAAACATGTTAAGAAGCAACATCCTCAGGTCGGTTCTCATGAACTTTTTCTGTATTCGTAACCTAATGTATTTATATCTGTATGAAAACGGCACTGCGAAGAGAAGGAAAACTTGACACAAACCCTATACTAACCCGTCTTGCCAGCATGGTATAGTAATCCAAAACCTTTCCAAGGAGAGGCCTATGTCCAGCAGTGGACTATTAGAGGCTGTCAATGTAATGTGACCAGCATATCTGCATGAGAACATCTACTCTACTATAAGCTACTACTACTATAAGCTACTACTACTATAAGCGGCGATAGTCATTTGCCATCAAGGTACTTGTTTGCCCCCATATCAAAATAAAATTGATTGAAATTTTGGGCAGTAAAAAGCTTGCCAATCGCCTTTATAGTCAGATATCAATGAATGAGCCTCCTCTGTACCTCTACAAATTATAATTCCGGTCATGACTGGAACTTGAAACATTTCCATAAGACACAGGTATAATTACCGGCCATGTACTCTGATATCTTACACAAGTCCAAAGTAATTACTGAAACAACTTTTATGATATTATATATCACAATCTTTAGAAACGTCTCGCCCGCTCTACTGAACTAATATTTTATTACATTATTTTGTTACAGAAACCTTTGTCTGCAGAAATTGAATCGAATGCTCCGAATAAATGAATGGACTCTGATATCTCATTGTATTTTATTGCCGTTACATTTCGCATTTCGTAAGCATTCCCAGATTCGAACAGTTCTGAAATGGAGACAGCTTCTAGAGAAACGTAGTGTAGAATACTGCGGCAGGTGGAGTGAAGACGAAACCTGGATAAGGAGCTGACGATCGAGCTCAATGGAGGTCGAGCTCAATTAAGAATTCTTATGTTCAGTAAACGCTGTTGATGATGAATAAAAGTGTGACCACAAACACAAAATCTTTTAATGTTTCAGGCATAACATATCCTTAAATTGCCTGAAGTTTAGACCTGGAGGCCTAGTGCGGGTATATGTCAGTTCAACCGGCGACTGCGTGAAGAGTTTAGTGCGGCTATTGGCAACGAGGATTCTTTCATTTCGTTAGATTGTTGACCGCACGTATGGCGTAGTGGTTTAAGCGGTCACCTTGCCGCTTACTACTGCGCTGAGTGTTGTGGGTCCGATTCCCACATGGGACAACACTTTGTGTGATCCACAAATTGTTGTTCTGAGTCTTGGTGTTCTTTGTGTCCGTTTCATGTATGTTTGTAAAGTCCTCCGCGACACAGGATATATTCCTAATGCGGGCGTTGACTTTTGAAAAAAAAAAGAAAGATTCGTCTTAATTGTCAGTGACACTGAAAATTATAAAAATCTAAACTGACGGTTATTGTACCTTTACATTTTGACGCTCAATTAACTTGTGTTAATAACGTCAATCAGAGACGGTGAATCATTAAACGTAAGGCAAGATACCCCCCAGCTAGATGGACTAGACGACTTGACGAAAATAGCTTTGATAGACTGGATTGGGGAGAAGCATATCTATGTCCAACAGAGGGTTGCAATAAAATAATTGGGTTAAATAGTTAAGATAGTTGTAGTAGTACCAACTGATGGATTACCAAGGTCAAGGCAGTCACGACCATGGCTACTATGATCAGTTTTGAGTTAGCACATAGCAGCGAACATTTCTGGTTTAAATTTAAAACTTTTTAGAAATATGGGGGGAGATCTAGCATATACTACGGTGGACACCGAGGGGGGACGAGGTAAAAAAATTGTTAGAAAATGGGTCACGTAAAATGGGTACGTCCCCTCATTTGTAAATAAAGTCACTGTTAAACTTATTTTGTTTATAAGTCAATAATTAATTGTCACGTTGTGTTAAGGCTACGAGCTTCAACAAATGTGATGGGTGGGGGAACGGCGTATTGCATTGCTCACTGCAGGGATGTCACTCCTCGATTAACCCGTTCTCGATAACGACACGTCATTACATACGTTAAATATTTTTATATATTGTAACTAATTGATAATATACATTTTTACCGGATTGGACTATCGTTCATTTTTCTCCAAACATCGGTTCCCCTCAATACGTTGAATTATCATCATCATCATCAACAGTCTTTAATAGTCCACTGCTGGACATAGGCCATAGAAAGGAGGTTTTGACCTACTACACCACGCTGGCCAGACGGGTTGGTATAGGGTTTGTTTCTAGTTCACGGGGTTTGTCCGGTCAATGGCACTATACGGTGCACCGGTGTGGGCGGCGGCTCTGACCGCCCAGAATAGGGTACGCCTCTGGCGCCCTCAGAGGGTAATGGCGGTCAGAGCCATACGCGGTTACCGCACCGTTTCGACGGAGGTGGCGTGCGCGTTGGCCGGAACTCCCCCGTGGGATTTGGAGGCGGAAGTGCTCGCCGAAGTTTATCGGCGAGTGGCTGACTCCCGGGCGGAGAGTGGATTTCGCCCTCCGCCCGAAGACGTGCGCGAGTGGCGAGATTTCCACACGTTAAAAAAAGAAGGTTTGTTTCTAGCTTCCCTTCTCTTTGTGGTGTTGTTGTCCTGCGTAGTTTGCTCCCTTAATCGGCTCTTACGACACCCACGTGATAAATAGGGGTGGTGACACTCCGTATTCTTAATCCGTCACCACACTGATAGGTTGAATTATACTTTTAACAAAAAAAAAAAAAATACAAATAGTTTCTCTATAACCCCAAGTGTGTACTTTTTGTGTTAATTGCGGTGTTTGTTAGGACCTTGCTTTTTCAACTCGGCAATATTATAAATGGACTAATTTACTATACCTCGAATAAATATAACGCAAACTAATACTGTTTAATTGTTAAATTCAAAATAAAACAGTTTTTTTTATTCCTGTTGAGATAACGATATAAAACGATCGGTTCATTTTAATTTTAAATCATCACTAGAACATTGGCTGTGTTTGTAGGAGTTTTATGACAAAATACCTTGTACACTGTATGTAGCCTTCCCCCCTAAAGTCAGGGGAGGGAATCCGGTAACCTCATTCACTCAGTGAAAAGTAGAGAAAGAATAGCTTCAACGGTTTTCTGTGAGGCCGTGGTGTGACTCCGGTCGAGCAGACCCATTTGTGCTGGCTCTCCCACGGCACACTCGCACGTATCAGTTGCAGGAGCTATAGGTACTAATATTGCAATTGTATGTCATCATTATCATCATCAACAGCCTTTACTAGTCTACTGCTGGTCATAGGCCTCTCTTTAGAAAGGAGGCTTTGGCCTACCATACCACGCTGGCCAGACAGGGTTTGTTTTAAGTTTTCGTTTGCAGTGCTGTTGTCCTGCGTAGTTTGCTCCCTTAATCGGCTCTAACGACACCCACGGTATGAATAGGGGTGGTGACACTGTATTCTTAATCCGTCACCACCACACGCGATTGTATGTACATATTGTAAATTAACGTAGATATATAACAAATACAAAAAATAAACCGTAATTATTGTTAGGACTTAAAAATAAACAATTACTTCTCCATTGCTTAAGTTTTCGGGTCTGCAAATCATTTCCAAGATCATGTCATTGCGGTTTGAGTGAAATCTGTCCATTACTGCGCTCGCGGTCAAGGCCAACATCGGAGCCAATCGCAGTTCGAAACAGATTTACTCAAATTGCGATCTTATTTCGTCTAATAATATATATTTAGAGTTCCAAATACATTAGCAAAATGTTGTATTGGGTGAGAAAAGTGTCTAATTATGAATGTATAAGATGTTTATGGGAAATGTGAAAGACTATTTCAGGTAAAAGTATCTAGATATTAAAAATTGTGACTGTCAGTGAGTAAGGATGCAATGCCTAGTTGCTAGTGCTAACCGCAAAGGCTCGTTTCTTTGCGAAAATCAATTAGGTCATTGCACTTGTCTCGAAACGTGGCGGCCTTTTCTAATCGTTTTCTATCAAGCAAACCTTCACCCAGATCGCTGTAACGGTCCCCGACCTGCACTGATTTCACACAAATTCGATTCGGCGTCTCAACGTAATCAATCCTTTACGAAATTATTTATTTAGAAATTTATTAGGTACAATTCACTTAGATCTAAGTATAAAAATAACAAGACTATTGTATACAACGTGCTTATGCAGCTTACATCTATATCATCACAGAGAATCGCTTCTGCGGTTCGTTAGTCCATCGCGACTATAACATTGGGTTTGTCGGTCAATGCCAACATACGCAGCTTCGTTCAAATAAATAATAATTACAATTATGGCGTATTTATTGGCGCTGTTCACGCCTTTCCTTGCCCGAGTTTAACCGTCTTCCGCTTGACAGAGGCAACGTTCGTCTCAGGCTCGTCGACTCGCACGTTGGATGCTGTAACGTATTTGTTTTGGTAGCCTGATTCACGAACTCGCGCGTTAGGTCTCAACTTGTCTGTACGCTCGTGTTCATTCGCTCGTTCGTTTTCACCTGATCGTTCGTCTTCGCCCGATCGTTCTTTATCCTCAGTTGTCCGTTCGGTGGAGTCTGAACGTTCCGACTCATCGTCGTCATCGGAATCGTCATTGTCCTTCTCGTCATCTGCGATTCGGTGCTTCGGGTCCTCTCGCAAGCGTTCATGGTCTTCCAAAAAGTAGCCGCTCTTGACAGGTGACTCGTGACGAGCGACGTCCGGGTCCACGGTCGGTTCGGGCACTCTTAATCTCATGTAGAACTTTTCTTCTTCAGATACGGGGATCTTTTTTCCGAAATAGTCTACTGAGTATTCTTCATTCTCACTTTCGTCGCTTTTGTCTGTGGATCGGGTCTTACGACTCTGCTTCCGTCGACGTTTACGCCTGGGTCGCTCAGTTTGCGGTGTCAATAAACTGTCATACCCGTCGCTATCCTCGTCTTCTCTTTCTCTGCTGTAGTTGCCCGTAACGTGACGTTCGTCATCCTCTTCATCTCTGTCTGGTGTCTCAGGTCGCTCGCGATGCAATTTCTTCGGTCGCTTTTCTCTGTAAATAGGTGGTACTCGAACAGTTACAGTGTCGATCTGGTTAGGATTGTGTTCGGTTGGCGGTAAAATGCGTGGCTTCAATGATTTTTTAGGATCCTCGGTAGTGGTAGTCACTTCAGAATCATCCTCGGCATCTGAAAGGGGTAACGGAATCAAATTGGGATGTGGACGGTCACGTTGAAGACCTTGGTGCGTCTCTCCTCGGAGATGGACTCTATTAGCAAGTTTGCGATCACCAAAATGAACATTTTTGTAATGGTCGGGGGGCAGGCGAGCAGCAGAACGAGGTTTAACATTTTGTTGTTCATATTGTCTATCCTGTTGCTTTTTTTTGATCCCAAAACTGACCGACAGCTTGGCGAACTGCTGCCTCACGGTCGCGAGATTCTTGGACATCCTCGTAGTCATCGTCTAGCTGTTGTTGCGTATTCTCATCATCGTATGCTAAATAATCTTCATTAGTTTCACGAAGATTATTTAACCGCTTCGCATCTACGGTATCTACTCGTTTTGCGATTCCATTTTGAACAACGAATGCATCCACGTAAACTCGCGGTTTTCGTGGCTCGTCGAGGGGTAATTTTGCTGCTTGTGGTTGAATAGCAATTGGAACATATTGGTCCTGGTCATCTTCTTGGGTGTCAACTTGATCTTCGGGTACCGCTTCAGCGGCGGCAGGGGCTTGAGTTAGCGGGCTACGGTTAAAATTGAAGTTTAATCTAAGGTTGGACGTAATCCTTTCAAGGTTTGTGTCGGCTTGTTGCTTAGGCGGTGGCGGTGGTGGCGCGCAAGGGGCTGGAGTGGCTGGGGCCGCCCGAGGCCTGGCACAAGGTGGTGGAGGTGGCGGTGGTGGCGGGGGCCTTGGGGTCGTCTTTGGTCTAGGTTTTGGCCGTGGTACAGCTCTGGGTCTCGGACAAGGTGGTACCGCTTTTGGAGCAGGAGGCGGAGGCGGTGGGGGCGGCGGAGGTGGTCTGCAAGGTGGTGGCGCTGCTCTAGGCTGTCCACACGGTGCAGGTGCCGGAGCAGGTGCTGCAGCAGGAGCAGCTAGCGGTGTGTCTATACCGGGAACCGGTGCAACCGGAGGCGGAAATTCAAAAGCCTGTGGTGGTTTTCTTTGCACATTGTATCCGAGCACGTCAGCTAAACCTCTGAACACTACATCGCCGAAAGTCCTCTTTTTGCGCACAACCTCCGCTTGATCAGCATCTAGCTCAATGATCGTTCCATTGTTATCGCGGAGGACGACCGTTCCGTTGGCGTCATCTATCGTAATCCTAGCGTTGGCATCGTCGATAACGAAGGTGTTTGTGACAAGTGAGTCCGCGGTGGTATTGCTGTGGTTGTTGGCTGCTGCGGTGAGTACCGCCAGCAACAGGAGTGGCGCGGCGCGGCGCATGGCGCGAGGTACTGTCGCGCGGGAGGGCGCGCGCGCCGTTTTGTCGCGACCGCCGTTGCTCAAACGCGGTCACGCTTCAGCGACCACCGTCTCATTTACAATTCATTGAAATATTAATTTGTTAATAAACCATAGAGTGCATTCAGATGCAGTTAATTCAATATCTATGTATATCTTGTAAGCAAATTACGAAGTCTTTCACTTTTTGTTTCTAGAATCAAACAGTTTCACAATCTTACAGGGAAATTTCTGTTGGCTTTTACTATTTTATTATAATTTTTGTGAAAAAATGCTGATTGTGTGTTCATTTACGTTCGATTAATTTCGAAACAATTTCTGATATTCCAAATAAACTTTACACTACGTAAACTTTATGTGTAAAATTTACTTTGCTTTACTTTTATAATAATGAAATAACAAACGGATAGCCAATGTTTTTCATTGAACAATTAATTCCCAACATTATTAAGATAGATCGAATACAAATATTGTCCGCGTGGTGACGGATTATGATTACAGAATGTCACCACCCCTATTCATCCCGAGGGTGTCGGAAGGGGCGACTAAAGGAGAAAACTATGCAGAACAACAGCACTGTAGAGAGAAGGAAAGTTCAAACCCTATACCAACCCGTCTGACCAGCGTGGTATAATAGGCCAAAACGTCCTTTCTAAGGAGAGGATTATGTCCAGCAGTGGACTATTAAAGGCTGTTGATGATGTAGACAAATATTATATTTTTTCTATCTTCTCGAATATGACATAAAACCTCGCAGTATGGCAATGAAATGTAATAATAAAAAAATGTGATTAACGTTCTTTAGAAAATTAATGTGCAACGAAGTTAATGAGACAATTGTGCCAAGGGCCATTGCGACATGAGCTGCTGGAGTGATCGGAGTATTACCGCTGAAAACATTCAGTGTATCTATGTATTAAACGTGAAATCAACTGCAAACGGTGTAATTTCTATTAAGTTAGTTCCTTTTGGAGGGTACACAACATCAAAGGTATGGTGGTTTTGCAGCCGAACAGTTCGAGCTGGCTCTTGGCTCACAAATATCTTTCTCAGGAGTTGGAGTAGTCTTATCGGTTTTCATACCTTGATCAAAATAGGTCAAATAGTGTTTAAGAGCTCCATTTTCTTAAATTAGTGCAATCCAACCCGTTTGGCCAGCGTGGTATAGCAGGACAAAAGCACCTTTCTAAGAAGAGACCTATGTCCAGCAGCGGACTATTAAAGCCTGATGATAATGATGACATTTGGCTGAGGATTTTGTAAAGGGACTTTTAGTAAATTTTTAAAGGAGCCTCAATGTAACCTTAAAAAGAATAAAAACATACCATGAGGTTAACGGTTATTGAAAAAAGTTTGTATTATATAAGAATTTGGGAAAAGTGAAGATGATGATGAGGCGAACAGTAGCTTTGTTTGCTACCTTAGTACCAAAACTATTTTTGTACTGTAACTATTTCCGTTTCGTCACTCCTCAGCTTGCGAACTGTTGATCAACATTTCACTTAAACATTCATTACATTATAACAAACATGTCGATAGTATTGCCACATCTAAATATTACACAGTACTTACTAGACATAAATAAAAGCCTTTATGGCGGGCAATTTTGGTTTGTATATCTAATTATTTGAGAGTGAATGTATTGGGCCACTGTTGTGATATACGAAGCGGACAAGAAAAAAAGAAATTTGACATAAGTTTGAAATCAACAATCAAGTTCTCATTGATTGCATTTACATCAATTCTGGGTACAAACGTAATTTAAATGGCCGTTTTTTATCATTCGTAGTAGTACCTACTTACTGTGCTTAGGGGGCGTAGGTCTGCTGATGTTGTTGGAGACTACGTTCGTGTGTTATGAAATGAAATGATACTTTAATTGCAGAAATATGGTACATGGGCTGTTTATAGTTATTAGAAAAGAATCAAGCTCATGTCAATAAACAATTTACATAATGTCAAATATATAATTGCAATGTCAATTTTTTCAATCCGATAATTTATTTCTAATATAGAACACAAAATACAATAAAATATTATCAGGTGTTTTTGTAATTATCGCTCATAGGGGCTCATAGGGGCAACGTCTTCATGGTTGGTGGCAAGCTTTTAAATATTTTGATACACATATTATACCATTTTTTTTGGAATAGTGTAGTTCTGGGAACAAAATCCAGGACTAGTCCTTGCCACTGCCCCGAGTGTTGCGTGGGAATGTTTTGCCTTTTTAAATAAACTAGGGTTACTTTTAACAAATACACTTACTTCAAAGATGTACGAACAGGGCGACGGTAATATTTCATATTTTCTATAATAAAGTTTGCAAGATTCATAAGGAGGAATGCCCACCATAGCCCGAACACACATCTCTTCTGGGATAAAAACGCCCGGGCAGCATCTACTGAGGTTCCCCACAACAATAGACCGTATCTCAATACAGAACCTACGTGACCATGATAGGCGAGAAGCACTGTCTGCTGAGTAGCGGTTCTTCTTAGTCAGCAGCCGCAATGTCTGAGCAGCAGCGTGTGCCTAGCAATATAAAGTCGGAAATAATCATTTCAATGTTATAGATAATTAGATGCCCAGCTTCGGTAATTGTTGCTCACGTTAATATACATTTAATTAGGTATAAAAACACTTCAATACGCCCTGTATTGAAGTGTCCTTATACTTAATTAAATAATCTTTAAACGTTTTGATTTTTTATTGCACAAAAAAAAAACGAATTCCGAGATCCAGCAAAACCAATAAACTTTACTCCAACAGGATCTCGAATTGCTTCGCATCCGAATAAAAAACAATATATAAGTAGGACTGCACGGATGGCGTAGTGGTTTAAGCGGTCACCACGCCGATTCCTGCTACATGGGACTTCTACATGGGACGACACTTTGTGTGATCCACAAATTGTTGTTCTGAGTCTGGGATGTTCTTTGTGTCCGTTTCATGTATGTTTGTAAAGTCCTCTGCGACACAGGATATATTCCTAATGCGGGAGTTGTCTTTAAAAAACATTTGCCTCGTCAATTAGAGACAATCAGTCAGTTAGACAATTAGAGATGCTGGGCAATCTATATTTAAAAGACTATTCACGACGTCATTTTGCTGGGGTAGCGCACACAGCCGCAGCAGTAGACACGTAACTAAACACCGTGTGGTTTTCCGACATACTACCGGGGCTAACGATGACATTGACCCTGTGGGTAAATCCGGTTAGGATTTATGGTTTTTCACATGGGACGACACTTTGTGTGATCCACAAAGTCCGTTTCATGTATGTTTGTAAAGTCCCCCGCGACGCAGGATATATTCCTAATGCGGGGGTTGTCTTAAAAAAAAAAACTCAAAAGGAATAAATTTTCCCATTCCCAACATTTTTCATTAATGCTCGGCTCCTATTGGTGGTAGCGTGATGTTATGTTCTTAGGATTTACTAACTGATAGTCTTCCTCGATAAATGGGATATCCGATATTCAAAGAAATTTTTATAATCAAACCAGAAGTTCTTACGATTAGCTAAACTGACAAACTTTGTAATCTTTGTAAAATTGGTATAGATAACAACAACATATCAACTATTAGCGGATGTGCCTGCTAATCTAATGTCTCGGTTTCGATTCCCGGGTCGCACCAAATGTTTGTAAATATTTGTTTCGGAGTTTAGGTGTTTTCTTTGTATTATATATATGTGCTTACAGACAAAAAGTATATACGTATTCAATCAGTCAATCTAGCTTTCATTGTACAAGCTAAGCTTAGTTGGAAACTGAATGCCGTTGTGTGTTAAATGTCTGAAAATATTATATTACCTATATTACCTCCTCCGTATTAAGTGAACAAATTATAGTAAAACCAGCCAAAAGTAAAATTTTCTAGAATTTTTGCTGATTTTCCAGGATTATGTGTGGATTTATGAAATAGGTTGTTTCAAACGAAGTTTAGCAAGCAGGTTAAGGTGTCAATGTCAACCGCAGATAAATCGACGATAATAAGATACGTACTGTAACCAAAAGGCGTAACAAATACCTAATAAAGTTGCTCTAAGGTGACTAAGTTAGTAAATTATTATACTTTATATATTATTACAAAAAATTGTCTGAATACCTAGTACATTTTTTAAACTCTTACTTTACCGAGTGCCGTACTACGAAATAAGTACCTCTCTGTATAAATAAAAATGAACCGCCGAAATGTATGTATGCGCATAACTTCTGAACGAGTGCACTAAATTGGATAATTCTTTTTCTTGTATTCCTTATTGTCAGGACAAGGTTTGTGTAAAAGAAAATTTACAAAAACTTAGAAAGAAGTACGCTCTTTTCTTGAAGGTTTGAAGTTCGTATCGGTCCTGAAATACCGCAGACGGTAACCCGTGCCACAGATTGGTTGTGGGAGGCAAAAAGTGTCTCGGGAAGCGCACAGTAGTGGAGCGCCAACTATCCAGGTGATGAAGATGAAAATTTTGCCGACGCGAACAATGGCGAAAAGTTGCGGATGGTATTAGTCCGAACAATTCTTCGGAGTACTCTTCATGATATATGCGATAGAGAATGCTGAGTGAAGCCACATCTCTACGTAACGCCAAGGGATCAAGCCGATCGGAGATGTTCGGGCTATCGACGATTCGAGTCGCTCTTCGTTGGATGCGGTCCAGAGGGAGAAACTGGTACTGAGGTGCCCCTGCATAGAGATGAGAACAGTATTCCATATGCGGCCGGACTTGCGCCTTATAGAGCTGAAGGCGTTGGGCAGAAGTGAAATACTGCCGCGATCTGTTCAGCACACCAAACTTCTTCGAGGCCAATTTGACCTTACCCTCTAAGTGACCCCGAAAAATTTGATTGACTTACTTTATAAAAAAAATGATTGATTTAAGTTAGATTCTCAATGATTATAATTCAAGGTTTAATAGTTACTATTAAGAAATAGCCTGAAGAAGCATATTATCAAAGAACACCAAGAAGACGTGCACGATGCAC